GGAAAGACGCAAATTTATCATCTAGGAGAGATAGATAGTTCTTTATTCCAAAAATTGTTACCCATGTTAACGATAAATGAAATGACGCAAAGACCCGCATTAGGTCATCTACAACTAGAGGTACTTATTGCTAGAACAATCGTAATACTACATTATGTTCTTAATCTTACATAAGGATAATTGACATGTTTAGATAGTGCTTTTTACAAAACTTCGGGATTCCTCCTGCGTCGATTTTTGCTTAGTCGAAATTGCTGACGTTTCGCCAATCATCCTGTTGGCTTCTTCAGAGCTTGACTGAAACCAGTTTCAGGAGGAATCCAGAAGTTTTGTAAAAAGCATTACAGTAGCCTGTGGGAGTTTCTTTGAAAAATTATATGTTTAGACAGTCTTAGCTAAACCGCTCAAGTTCAATTAAGAGTTTTTTAATTTCCCTTTTAAAGGATTTCTATTACTAATTCTTCTAACACTCAGAGGTAGTTTATTAAACACATATACATATACGCAGGACTCTTTTTAGTGATTTGCAAGCGATGCCAGGGATAGGTGTAATAATCAGATCTCGAATTATAATTTTTTGTATTTAGTCGTTAAAATAAATATCCGTTTCTGTGAAGGAACGTAAGGCATTCAAATGTGTATAGAGCGTATACTGTCAAAATGTTGATTTTTGATTATATTCCATTTTTCTAATTACCTTTGTGTAACTTATATAAAATAGACTTTTTCCCCAAAAGATTATTCCGTATTTCATGCTTGATTCGAAGTTAGCAAAAAAAATATAATACTGTTAGTGTTTTTTCGCTCATATACCTACCAACCGTCCTAATTGAAGATTGAGTTTAACTTAATGATTAATTGAATTGTATGAAAAGACCAGTCCAGATATTCATTAAGCCCAAAAATTTTGGATTGTCTGACATGCGTGGGATTTTATTGTCCAAGCTGAGGTTGCCTATTGTTTCAATATTATACTGCTCCTGAAGAACACGGTATTTGTTTTGTCTGTGTTAACAATTAATTTGTTGTCCAGGAAACATATAATAATTTTATTAAAAAACGATTCGGATTCATTTAGGAGCTTATACAGATACTTGTAGCCAATTAGGATATTCGTGTCATCTGAATAATTAATTATTATTTGTCTGGATCTTTCTTTAACCGTGTATATGATGATGAATATAAAAAACATAATGGGACCTAATATGAGCTACTCCATGGCCATTATCGCAAACTTTTGATTTTTCACCGTGTCCATTTTTGTAGACTAGCAATTTGAGTACGTTGGTTTAGATATGACTTTGTCCATTTTAGTGCCGAACCTCTTAGGCCATATCTCTCTAATTTCGTTAATAGCATCTCTCTGTCTAGGCAATTATACGTCTTGGATGGGTCTAAGAAATTTCCAACAGCTGCTTCGCCTTTTTTAAAGTGATTCGAAAGTTTGCGTTGATTTTCGCTTTAAACAACCGAGTTGATTTATAAGAAGTTTGTTAATCTTTTGCACACAACATGTTCAAAGATTTTTGAGAATCCCGGCAGCAGACCTATTGGTCTATAGCTGTCCATTTTTTCGACGTCGCCCTTTTCATATAACGGATTAATTAAGGCTAATTTGAAGTTAGTTGGGAAAATTCCATTTCGACATGAATTAATAATTAAGTAGCTTAGCACTTTTTTAATTTCTACAATCGACTTTTTATAATACTTGTTGATATCTCTTCGACCTCACTGCTATCTTTATTTCTGATATCTACAGCTAGTTCACAAATTTCTTCGGGTGTTACTGCATTTAGTATCACAGATTGGTTATTGTATGGAATGCTGTAGATATATGTTTTCGATTTTAAGCTTTTTAACATTTCTGGAATCACCGTCATAAGACATTTGCTAATTTCATCGTTATGACGTAGTCGCCACCTTTCCTGATTATAGTATAGTATAGTTGTTGGTATGGTATTATTTTTCGATGCTTCCACAAAACGATTTAACATGGCACATGTTTTCCCACTGGTCCTATAGAAGAATTGCCATTAATTTATTTTTTCTAATATTTCAAAAACTATGAATAGAATATTTACACAGGATATTTACAAATTCAATCTTCTGGATTCCTCTTGTTTCTGTTGTTGATGAGTCGAATTTGTTGATTTTTCTGCAAAAATACCATCATATTTTTATTCCATATTCTCCAATTTAATTTCTGATCAGAGTTACTTCCCGGAATTTTCAAAGTAGGAAAGGTGTTATTGTTCAATACCTGGATTTTAAGCCGTTTACATTTCATTTTTAACTCGCTGTGTAGACCAAGTAATAGCCGACTATTAATTTATTTTTAAAAATATGGCAACCGTAATATTGTGAACTTTTCTTGCTTCTTGCAAGACTACTTTTGAAAGGCACAAATTCGATTCATATCGAATAACAAAACAAATTGCATCCTTGACTTAACATGGAAAAAATGCAACGTTAAGAAAGAACCGCTTCAATAACTTTTCGAGCTTCCATGCAGAAAAATCATTTTCGGTTCACAAAGCGTCCAATCTACTCTGGAATAATACGGGAGAAATTTTGGTAATTACGAGAGGCTTTAGTGGCTCGGGTCCATGCCATTGTATTTATTTAAGAGATTACTGCGGGCTTTTGGTAAACCGCATTTTAAGCTCGCTTTCAGTAAATAGACTGAAACGAGAACAAGTGAGCTTTTACCTTTCTTTGCCGTAAGTGAATTACGCAAATCGGATTTTTGACGTATTGCGTTGTGGTATCGCTTCCGGATTTGAATCTCTAATTTCCTTTCAACGTCCGAAGGGACCGCTCTGGACTGTAGAAAACTTAAATTGATTTTAGTTGGTTGCCTTTTATAATACAACTTCAGTAATTCTACTATAAAATTGTAAAAACTTATTAGAAAACATACAAAACTTAGATATATATTATATATTACTTTTCACAGATGTTTTTCCAATAAAAAACTATTACTCCTGGTTAGTTAGAATGAAATAGAATGGTGCAAGTGTACTTAAATATGTTTTATAGTAAATAAAAAGCAAAAATTGAATTAGAATAATGATTTTCACAAATTATTTATTGGTTTCGTTTTCAAAATAGAACATATATAAATAAAAAAAAAGTGGTAATTAACCAATAAAGCAATTTGTGATGTTATTTTGACCATGAGCTATTCCATATGTTGTACGAGTCCGAAGCGTAACAGCTTTGAGATCGTTTCCTTCAAATTTCTTGTTACATAAATTATATACGTTACATATATTATAGTGCTACCTATATGTCTGTCTTATAAATACATAAATAAAATAATTACAAAACAATTTCAACATTTGGGAAATTAAATGTCACTCCTCCGAGTTGTTTTTTGATTCAATTTTATTTCTAAGAAACTGGTATTGGACAAACAGGTAGAACATTCGCGAAACGCATTAACGAACATAAAAGAACCTGTAAAAATAAAATCCAACTAAATCAATTGGATTTACGACCAATTGGATTTACTACTACCACTGCTACACTAACTGTACTTAAGGTTTTATTGTCAGAAAACTGTAAAGCAAAAGTCAAAGATTGCAAGGCGATGGTAAGGCCTAAAGATACAAAACAATTTCTGCATGACGATATTTTATTTAGTTTTTATTTGACTAGCCCTGTGCTAGTGCGAAATATAAAAGTTTTAGAACTTCCTTTGAGACCACTTCCCTAAAATTTGTTAGTACAAAATTATCTGTACTTATTTTAGAATTTAGAAAACTAATGGAATTTTTCCAAGTTAGTTTGTTATCCAGTTTTATTCCTAGATTTCTCCTACGTCTTAACTAAAAGGCCTTCTTGAATTTTCTTGTTCTTTATGCATAATTGTAAAATTTGTTACCAACCTTCAACAGAGGTTTGCTTTTTGGAGACCCTATAACAAAACAGGAACTCCGACCCAGGAAACTATATTGTCAGAAAATACTCTTCTTTTTAATTACCTGGTTTTAAGCGCTTAGCCTATTAAGATACAAAGTTGTTTTTCGCTTTTCCAATAGGCCTTCGTCTACGGCAGAGTTCGACTTTGGCTGGTATCCTATTCTCGTACATCCGTTCTACGTATTCTTGCCACTTACTTTTATGATTACGTTGTAATATCTCTATTTCTTACTCTGTCCAGTATTCTAGTTTTTTCTTTTTTCGTTGTTGTCCATGTTTCACTATCGTATAAGACGGAGGATGCAGATATCGTCTTGTAAATACTTGTTCTGCTGATAGTTACCATGATATGTGTGAATTTATTAAATTACTATTACGGTAAGTATGACGGTAAGTATAACTAGGTAAGACTTAAGTTTTATTTAGCTTTTTCGTACTATTTCTTCTACATATTATTGAAGTGTTTATATCACAAATCCATCAAAAAATGTGTGCTGGTGTGCTGGTGAACGAACTAGTTTGCATTCTTGAATTCGATATTTTATTTTGAATTTTGCCAAAAAGTGACCAAAGCTTTTAAACATAAAAGTAGCGAAATAGTTGAAAACATGTGGAATATTATTTCTATTTATTTCTTCGTATTCTTTTGTCGGGATCCTTTGACAAGCCATGCAAATAAAATTGTCAACCCTTTGATTTATTCGCTCGGCTCGCACTCATAATCCTTGCTTTTTTCGCTAAAAGATCATAGAAAAACTGGAGAAGCGTAAGAAATGTATTATATTCATGTCATTCATATACTGTATCGGTTTAGCATGTGAACTTTCGTATGGATAGCAAGCGAGGCTGCTACATTCTCGATGCACTATTATGCGTGGCTATTGTCCGATGCTAAAGATTCGAAATCCTTTTTCCGGTGGGACATAATCCGACGGCTTTGAGTGTGTCAGGTCGTTATAAGTGTTTAGAATATATTTATAATGAGTTGAAATAAATTCTGGTTTTAAAATATATTAAAATTGGCTCAGTTTATGCCGTGGACGTTAAATGAGCAACGAATGAAAACAAAAAAGTAATTGCGTACGGTTTCTTTTATTGCCAGCGAGACACTTTACATTTTGGACGTCTTGTTTCCTGAAAAAGAACGTCTATTGTACAAAATTTGATTCGTATTAGGATACGTTAACTATACACATGACGTTTGGACATAGTTCTCACAAAAGTTACTGTCAAAAATAGTATAAAGGATTGTTATGGACAGTGCTGAACTGGAATGGACTTGGACAGATAACAAATAGCTATATAAAATTGTTCACAGTAAAAATACATCCATACATCTAAAGCAGTTTCAGTTGTCTATGTAGATGAAGCGCTGGTAAGAACGTTATTTTGGTAATTGGTATTTGGTATACATTAAAAAAGGTGATCCTATATAAAAATTTCTGCTTGCTCTAAAAGTGAGGTTTGCAATGCTTGATGTTTCCTTTTTTTACATGGTACGAAAAAAATAGAAAAATACGGATTTGTTACAGCTTAAACAGAAATCGTTGAATTCAATTTTCAAAATTTCGATTTAAAATGAAAATATTTCTAAAAACTATTATAACATATTTTATTTGATTGTGCCTTTCATGATTACGTCAAAATGAGAAAAAAGTTGACTTTAGACTGGAGAATGTTTCAAGAAAAGAATTCAAATATTTCATTTCGCAGAACCTCAGCACATAAATTCAATCAAACTGGGTCCGTTACTAAGGTAAAGAAGACCAGAAACGATATAACGAAAATGATGCACCACCTATTCTATGTTTTTTTTTTTGTCACATCCAGGAAATATTTTTTTCTACTCCCGTCCGTATAATACCTAATTACACACCGATCTAGCGTGCCGGAAGCGTCACATGAGTTTCGTTTCCCATGAATCCCAGCCCAGATTTGGGAGCTATCGGATGTTTTCGGAGATATTTCCCACGCTTTGAATTTTGACGTTTGTCAATTCTGACGGTTATGTCAGTGAATGTATTCGTTAATTGAAAACTCGCTCCGCTGCGCTTCGCTCGTGTCAAATAAACTCCTGAGTCAAATGCCGTTTACCGCACTTGTTGCATAATATACTATTGCACATCCATTTACAAATTTTATTATTATCACTACTAAAGGACATAAAACCGTAGAAATCGCTAATTTATATGTAAAAGAAAGATCTTGTATATGACGTCAAAAGTTAGCAAAAGCGGTACATAAATTTGTATCATATTTTCAAGTAAATCCAAAATAGTAAAGAAAATATATTTTGGATTTGTATTGCCATTTTTGTTAATGTGATGTAGATTACATCACAGAAAACATACGTTGGAAATGCTATATCGATTATGCTTTATTTTTTGAAAATATTTACTAGTGCGTGAACGCACCACTGGTTTTATCTGTGAAACAAAACTTGGTTATTGCAAGTCTAGACAAGTCAGCGCATGTAGAATAAACATGCAACATTTAGCATGTTCTATAGTATTAGTTTGTGCCTTGTGCAGTAAACGTTACAGTTAAACATGGCATTTCCGAGGTATTTTACGTGTTCTTATGTATTGTAAATTGTAAATTTATCCTAAAAATAACGTGAAAAAATATTTACAGACCATATTGACGCGGTCTATATTCCACCCGACGGCGACGTGGATACCTTGACTGACGAAGAAGATATGAACGATAACATAAATCTACAAGAGTTTGGGCAACCGACTGATATAGTTGGAACTTTCGAGTTACATACACCGAATGATACAGCTGTCCTTCAACAGTCCTGTAATTCATCACCCACTGAACCTGAATAGGACTCGTCAGATGATGAAACCCTGGAATTCAAAAGAGGACGCTTTCTGCAAACGACAGACTTGCTTCTACTGTCAAATGGAAGAAAGTTCAGATTGAGTACACTAATACACCTATATTCGATGAATTTAGCTCATGTGAGGAACTAAAAAATAGGTTTTCTGGAAAAACTCCGCTTGAAATGCTTTTATGTTTTTTTGATGACGTAGTGATTGATTTGATTTTAAAATTTTCGGTAAAATATGCTCAAGACAATACCCGCCATGAATTCTTGTTGTCAAAAAATGTTTTTTTTAAATTTTGTAGACATTTTATTGTTCTCGGGTTATCATTCATTGCATTGTTATCGTTCATTGCATTAGCATTATTGGTCTACTGATGAAGACAAAGGAATTGATCCTATAAAAAAATGTATGAGCCGCGATTGATTCCAATTGATAAAGCAAAACTTGCACTTATGTAACAATAATCCGTTTTCAAAAGTTAGACCCTTTTTTGATGTAATAATTAGACAAAATCTTCAGTTTGGCACATTTTCGTTCAACTTATCTGTAAATGAACAAATGGTACATTACTTTGGCCGCCATTCCTGCAAAATGTTTATAAAGGGTAAGTCCAGTTTTTTTTTTGTAAGTTTAGAGTTTTTATTTTTATTTTTTTTGAACATGTAATGTATTCTGTAAAGTATTTTTTTATGATTGGGATAATATGGGTTAATCTATTAGTCGATTAATGAAAACCATATGCTCTCCTTATGAAAACAGGCCTTAGAAAAAAGCAGAATGAAATCCGTCCATACTAACCAATTTTTAACCATACCTTGGAAGATGGGAACAATGTCAAACGCTTGAATTTATGTTTCCGAATAGGCCATAAAATTCTAAATAACAATGAGAAGTTTCACAAGCTAATAATTACCTCAGACGAGTCAACTTTTACTACAATCGGAACCCTGCCTCATCCAGAGTTTTGAATTGGGAACCAACGTTAATACTTTTTCTTATTTTGCCAAATACGTCACAATTATGAAAGGTGTAATATTTTAGTTTTAATTCGAAATTTTTGCTTTTAAATCTGTAGTGTTGTGAATATTCCACTTAACTCTTTAACAAAATTGGCAAATTTATTTTTAAAACACTTAAAGAACTTTTTTAAAGAATGACTATTTTCCGTATCTTTTAATTTTTGGTCTATTTGTCCTCTTGTCGACTCCATCCGTCGACATACTGTATATATAGTGAATTTAAATAGTTTCTGTCTTGTTCTAGGGTGTAAAATTGGTCATTTCATTGGCAAAATGCAACTGGCAGTAAAAGCAGTTACATTCTCTTCAAAGTACCTAATGTAAATAGACAATTAATACAAATATTTATAAGCACTTAGTAAACACTTTGGCATGGACTACATAAAATTGATCATTAATTCATAGGTTACGAAATTGTAACTTCTTTCCAGATGTTATTTAGATTTACACTCGAAAGTAAAAGTACATTTTGAATTACAGCAGTTCCAAAAAGCTTATATTTAAGAGGAATTTTAAACCGTTTTGACATCACTACAATTGATCGTCTCGTTATTTTACAAAATATCTTAACAAAGGAACTGATTTGGAGTTCGCTGTTAAAATATACTTCTACATCTGTAATTTTTATATCAATTTGTCAAACAGGCTGATGAATCCAGTATTCTAAGCAGAGGTTCCCGCGCTAGAGCACTATGTCAAAGAAATAAAGGTAAAACAAATCTTAATAAAACAAATGCCATCTGGACAGACGATTATAGCACTAGCGATCCACTAAAATAACATCCAAGTTAGATTTCGACTGAAACTGTCAAGACGGTCACCAAGGTAACAAAAGCGCCATAAAAAGGGATGAAAAAAGGCTCCTCCTGGTAATGGTGGACCAAGTTCACAGCACACCTTCTGAACAGTGAAAAGAAGGGCTTGAGAAGAGTGATAGGTGTATTGATGGACATTACCGACTAATGCAAATGCAAATTCTGCCAAAAGAGGAAAAAAACGTTTGCACATGTGTTATGCTTCTTCATCCGCTGGGAATAGAGAAATGGAAATAAACGAGCCACATCAAGCAGCCACCATTGAAGCTGAGGAGTATAATCAGAGAGACAATGGATCGTAGCCGTCGCTGAAGGGCAGCTATACTATTGTGTAATCAGCTACTTATCGAGTGATTTTCTTACCATTGGATTTTTCTATTTCGTCGTTCCAAGGTTGTATCTCCCCCGATCCAAATATAGCGAAATAAATGGCACCCAGTACGTTACCAGCTGCCGAAATTAAGAATATAATTCGCCATTGACTAATATCCCCCTGCAATCAGACCGAGTTTCATTGACCTGTGTTTAGCATTATAAAATTAAATATTTAAACTCCAACTGTGTGAATCTAACGGATTCTTCAAAATCAGCAAAACTAATAAATTAAAATGTAAGAGACATAACGAAACAAAGCCAAAGTAAATTTACAGTATAAAATAACAATGGCGAAAAACATATTTATTGTCAACTTTAATTTGGAAAGTAAAGTATAGAAGACAATAGCATTTTTTTTTTAAGAATAATACAGACTACTAACGATTCCTAACCTGGTCTGTAACAATGACTTGCGAGACCAAGGGAGCAACAAACCCCAAGGAGTTTCCGATAGAGGACGTGAGCCCATTAACGGTACCAGCATGATTGGGAGCCAGATCTATGGGATTCACGGCCCAACCTGACAAAATGGCGGAGCTAGACGCGACCGCTATCACTAGTAAACAGACTGCTTTTGTCTGGTGCTTCGGATCCGTATAGCCTAAAATAATGAGCGCTGCTGCAGGTATTACCAACCCTAAAATACGTATTATTAGGTTTTGATATAATGCAGACCATCGTTCTTTCAACTACGTACCAACGGCGGTAAAAATTTTTCTGCATGTACCGATCGAAAAAATATTCCTATTTATAACAGCGTCCGACGCCGTGCTAAAGAAAAAGCTGAGGAATACGAACGTCAAATATGGTAAAGATGACATGAAACTATTCTACAAGCGGATCATATGGTTTATAGAATACAAAAAGCTGTTTACTTTGCTTACATTATCCATGTCGAACTTTAAAATGTTGCTCATGTACAACGGAATTTGCGTTATCAATAAATAAAAGACAAAGTTGCTCGTACACTGCGCAGCAAGAATAGCCGAAATCGGTACTGACGTGAAAATCGCCTTCCATGGAGTATTCAGCTTCTAAAAATAATATGTATAGGAAAAGGTTTAAGCGCAATTCCGCGCGTCGCAACTTTTTTGCCATTGGCATGTCCCAAACTGTGTTCGATGTAAAATTTCTCAGCTTTCGATATTTTGGGATGTTCCTCTGGAGTGTCATATCCAAAAACGGCCATCAAAATACACCAGACAATACCGAGAAAGCTGAAAAAGTGGAATGCGATAGGCCAACCGTACTTGCTTGTTGATAAGGCACCAGTCACCAGCAATGCGACTACGGTACCCATATAAGCTCCTACGAAAGCGGTTATAACTTATTTGGTTTGCTAAGTTAAACTACAAACCCGAGTATATAAAAGTCGCCATTCTGGATCTCTCCGATACGGGCACCCAGTGACTCAAAGTGTAGGCAACCGAAGGATATATTAGCCCCTGAAAAAATCCTTGAAATGCTCTGACTACCATCACTCCTTTGGAACCGAATTGAGCGGCAGCTAGAGGTATTGCAGAACCAAGTGCCGAACTTATCGTTAAGAAGACCACCAAGAACCATTTTGGGCCATAACGATTCGTTAACCAGCCAGTCAGTGGTTGAGGCAAGACGTATCCCCAGAAGAAAGCCGATAATACAACACTTTTATCTTGCCATTCGGGGTACGTCTGAAATAGTTGATAGGCAAAGCTTTGTTCACATATGGTGTGAAGTACTAACGGGAATTGCTGGATCACTGTTCACTGTAGGATCCGTCATTGCTACGATCGCACTGGATAGCGAAGATCTTGCGCCGTAGAATACGAAAATTAGCAGAAAACCGATTAAAGCTTGGCCATGTCTGACCCCGAGCAAGGGGACTAAAGTTGCAATACTTCAAGAAACTATCTTTTATGAATGTTTAAAGGATACTTACGGTTTTTGGTTAACTCATCTTTCGAATTTTGAAAATTGCTTTTATCAAGTTTAACGTCAATTGAGGTGTAAGAAATGTCCTCTCTACGGTCAGTGGTAGACTTGCCCATGGTGTTAAAGGCTGACTGAGCTCACAGAAGCAACTGCCCAGGCAAACTACCAGTTCGTTATTGTTTGTGCTTTCGAATTGCGGAATTAAAATACTGAAGTAAATAGAAGGAAGCTTAACGGATTTCGACGGTAAAGAAACATACAGAGTGTGTCACCGATAGCCGCACGTATGAAATAAGAAAAGGCAAATCTTTAGTTTATTAAAATTTATTTAAAGTCGGGAATGTCGAAATGAAACTTTGAAGACGAGACAGTCTTCTACTTGTATTGATGTTTACCTGAAAAGAACGTGTTACAAAAATATCACTAAAAGATTTTTGAAGAATCACCTCTTAGAATTTTCGTGTTCTTCCATATTCCAAGGTTGAACTTCTCCAGATCCAAAAATAGTGAACAAAACCGTAACAGCGATATTACTTGCGGCAGAAATTAGAAACACAATTCTCCATTGAACGGTGTCTTCCTGTAGGTACAAATGTTATATCTAATACGCTTGTAGATTCAATAACTATATCCCCAATACCTGATCAGTAACAACGAACTGTGCCAACAAAGGTGCTACTATCCCGAAGCAATTAGCCGCAGCATTTATAAGTCCCATCAATGTCCCAGCGTGATTTGGACTTAAATCAATGTGATTCACTCCCCATCCAGACAAAGTTGCCGATAAAAAGCCGACCGATAATACCATCAATATTATGGCTTGAGTGGTTTGTTCGCGACTTGTGTAGCCCAATATTACCAATGCGATTGCTGGTATTACCATTCCTGAAAGCGGTTTCAACATGGAAGAGCTTTACCAGAAAAACAAAACTTACCGATTCCGTTAAACAGCTTCCGGGACGCACCCACCGATAACACTTTCCTATTTATCGCTGCGTCTGACGTAACACTAAATACGAAGCTGAGAATCCACAGCACAAAGTAGGGAAGAGACGACAGAAGACTGTTCTGCAATTTGCTCCACATATGGTAAGCGTAATTGTGTTAACAAAATCAACTCACATTCGCAATGTCAAACTCCATAACGTGGTTCAAATAACTTGGTATTTGAGTAAGGAGGACGTAGAATACGAAACTGTAGCCGCTCTGGGCGATTAATAGAGCCCAAACGGGTGTGGAAAGAAATATGGATTTCCACGGAGTCGGATGCCTCTACAAACGCGAGTTATATTTATTATTTCCTTTTCATCCTTCACAACTTACCATCTTTCCATCGGCATGGCCCAAGCTACTTTCAATGAAAGATCTTTCAGAACTGTTAATAGAAGGATGTTCAACTGGGCTATTATATCCACAAAGTACCATCACTATACACCACAACAAACCCAATACACCGTAGAAGTAAAATACCAACGGCCATCCGTATTTGCTAGATGCTAAAACGCCGGTAATCAGCAGGGAGATTACCGTACCCAGAGGTCCACCTCAAAAACAAAAAATATGTTAACATAAACTTAAAATATTGCGAACAGTTTCATTAGGTGCATTACCAGCCATTACAAATGTTCCCATTCTAGACCGTTCTGACAGCGGAGCCCACTGACTCAAAAGGTAATGAATTGACGGGTAGACAAAACCTTGAGTGATTCCTTGTACTGCTCTTATTGCCATAACTCCTTTAGATCCTAAATGCGCCGCAGTGCATGGCACTAATATACCCAGACACGAGCCAATAGCCATGGTGACTACCAAAAACCACTTTGGTCCATAACGATTAGCTGCCCAACCCGCGAAAGCCTGGGGAAGGACGTAACCCCAGAAGAAGGCAGAGAGCACTATGCTTTTGTCTGTCCATTCGGGATACGTCTGCAATTTCATTAGAGGTTTGACGAATGAGCAATCTGTCGGATGAATGAAGTAAAAAAAATCTCTCTATTGACATTCAGTTATGTCTATTTTTAAAAAAGTAAATGTTCGATGCACCAAGTCAATAATGCAGAAGTTGGCAATAGTCCTTACTCGTGAGTGGCATTATACGAGGTATGTTCAAAAAGTAAGGTGAGTTTTGTAATTGTTTTGTTATGTTGGTATACATGTCCCTAACATATGTTGACTATTTCAGACAGTTTGCAAATTTACTTTTTCCTGTTCCCAAAACTCTAATAAATAAATAAAGGAGGTTTAACACGATTGCGGGGATTACTTTAAAGTGGACAGTATTAATTTTGATAAAAAAAATAAATACTTTTAGATAAAACTTAAAAGTTACCTTTCTTTTTGAACACACATCGTATTTAGTTGGATAATTATTATATTCATGATTTTGGCAGGATAAAGTTACCGGAACTTCTGAGTTCGTGTTGGTATTTGGATCTGTCATTGCTACAATGGCCACCGATAGAAAAGCTCGCGCTCCGAAGGCAATGACGCTGAGGGAGAACATTATCAGGGCTTGAACATGTCGGGCACCAAAAGAAGACGCTAATGGCAAATTAGAATTATTACAGTTAAATAAGAATACATGACTTACCAGACCTTTCGCCGAATTTATTCGTTTCGTCTGCATTTCGGCGCACGGGTATAAATGAAGAATTTTCAGTACTCTCTTCCGACGTTTTGGTCATGGTAATAGCGATATATAAAAGCAAAATACTAGCAAAGATGTTCGGATTGCATGTGACCGAAACTATTCCACGACTTAAATACAAACCTTTAATTTACAATTATTTACTTTAAAAATATGATTTTGATACTTAAGTAAATATAAGGGTTAAGAACAATAACTATTGACTGAGATAATGAAAATCAGACAAACAAACAAAATCAAGTCATTTATTTCATTTAGGTTCGCTTAGGCACTTACTGTCTATAATGTGATCAAATATATACGAAATGGACGATACTTTATTCATATTAATGTTGCAGCAAAATACACAAAATCATTTTATCTGGATACTTTCTTTTAAAAACTATATGGGATTGAACATCACTTCAAACTAACTACAATCGATACGACTGATCGACTAATCGTCTTCAATTGATTATATCACTAAAACAGGTCGGTCTTTGTCCCTATCCTTCAAGGTAATTTAATTCAAAGACTCAATTTTTTTGCATTTTTGGGAAATCCATATCAAGGCCATATACGTAACATATAGATAATGCGTAATGAGATGAGCAAACACAGAATTTTTATTTGAGTTGCTAAAAGTGTTTAGTCGTATATCACAGTTTCTTGGAGCGTATAAAAGTGTCTATGGCCGTGGTTTGTCACTGCCGCTATCTACAAATAAAATGAAACTATCTTTTTAATATGATTATTGTGAACCACATACCTTCGCGTTCCTCATTCCAAGGTTGAATTTTGCCGGATCCAAATACGCTGAATACCAAAGTGACCGCAATATTACCAACGGCAGACACGATAAATATAGTTCTCCACTGAGTTACATTTTCCTGGAAACATTTCATGGAATAAGTCCTAAAAACCTGCATTTATCTTATTACCTGATCCGTGACAATGAACTGCGTCATTATAGGTGCGACGATTGCAAAAGAATTGGCCACGGTACTTAAAAGCCCCATAAGAGTGCCTGCGTGATTTGGAGATAGATCGATGTGATTGACTCCCCAACCAGATAAACCAGCCGATAGAAAACCAACTGCCAAAATCATCAGTATCACTGCCCGAGTTGTTTGGTCTTGTCGCGTGTATCCCAAGGCAATTAGGGCCACCGCTGGGACGATCATGCCTGCAATCATTCACGTGTTCTCTGCCACACATCTGCGTTCTCAAATTTTTAAAATGCTATTGGCAAAACTGCGGACAGCAAGAAAATTGATGCAATTTTAATGGACAAATTTTTGAGGACAACTTTGACACCACCTCGTTTTCTGTGCCTCTTTTGGTGGATCTTGTCATAAATTATTACGTCTGCAGTGAAAGACCCTCTACAAATCCGAAGATTGTAGGTATCGATTGATTGTTCATGTTAGCGACAAAGTTTGCTCAGGCAAACTCGCATTGCCGGCTTACTCAAGGCAAAGTGACGTCGAAGAGGCTAAGAAAACGATACCTGATAGAAGCTGCGCGAAATTAGTGGTCGCAGTTATTCCGTTGGAGGGCCGGAATTTCAAATACGTCCCAAAAAATGCAAAACTAACTCTTGTTAATGTAAAAGATCAAAATTGTTATGTACTCGACAAAAAGCAATAAATGTATTGTATAAGGGGCTCTGTTAAATATGCTCTCTGTAAAAAGCGTATCATACAGAAACTCTAATTCTACACATGCTATAAGGCAAAAGATATAAATTGTGAAGCAATCAATAGATGTGTCGAATAAGACTTTAATTTGAGTTTTAATGTATTCAACAGCAGTAACAATTATTACAAACACTGCATTGGAAGTCTATCGGTGAACATTCTAAGTAATTTGACTAGAAAGTTTAAACATATTTTAAGCATAATGAGTTATATTAGCAGAAGGAGTATATTTTGGCAACATTAACAAATGTTTTATGAAGTTAGATTGAGCTTTTGCAATAATATCAGAATAACGTAAACCGCAGCGAGCAATGCTACTAGAAAAATAAGTGAGAATGCTATCATTAATTATAAGTTTATTAATAATTAATAATATTATATTTATAGAACATCCTAAGAGCAGGTACCTGTGTTGGGCTATAGTTACAGATGATTCTGCCATTTCGATAAGAACGAAGAACAAGCGAAAGTAACTCCCAAAAATGTATTCAATTTTCCAAGAAAAAGTACCTCTCAGGAGTATTTGGACCAACCCTTCAGAGGGTGATCCAAAGGGGTGGTTTTTGAGACGTTGACTACAAATTTGTTCAAATGAATATATTTTTCAAAAGTTTGCAGCTGGTGTATAATGTCTCAGAGTCTTCGTGTATAACAAGATCATCAGCATACAGCAGAATAACAAGAAATATTAAAAAAAGATTTGAACTCAAATAATTCCCTTAAAGGGCACCAGATGTGATATCAATCGTCACTGAAACTTAATCAAAGGCTCTGAGCCGTTCTCGTATCAGTTCTGCGTAATATTGATAAAGTTAGGACTGACACCTGTGTGCCACAGTCGCCAGAGTCGAACACTCCACGAAAATCAACGAAGGTGGCATAAACATTTCTGTCTTTCAGGTGCAAGTGCAATTCCACGATTGAGTGTTTTTTCCCAAAAACAAACTCCCATGTCAGAAGTCTCCTCAGGAGTATGTTCATAAATAACCTTCACTATCGTATTCACCAAGCAATTGGTCGGAAATTGATAGAGTCATTTCAGTCTCTAGGGTTCTTTTAGCTCTAAGTAAGATAATAGAAAAAAGGAAGGTAAGTTAGAAGAGCCAGTTTTGTGGCAAGTTTTTAAAAAATCTTAAAGAGTATCAAGTCGAGGGCACTTATTATTTCTTCTAAAGATGCATTCCATTTCGTATAGCGAGATGTCTACATCAGGGGGTGGTCCAAAAAAGGACACGAAGCTAATTCAAAAATGATTCCCAAAGAGCAACTTTAGTTATGACTTAATACAGCATTAAATGGATTTTTGATCCGTAATAAAAGAAAGTGCATCAAGTTGTCTCATATCAAAACAGCGCTTTGTGTTCATAATAAGTTTTATATGCTGGCGCTTAGTTGCAAGATAAGTTTGCCTTAGTTCATCGGGCCATTTGCAGGCCAACTTACCAATTGCGTTAAAACTTTTCCTCGCCTTGCCGACAGATAGAATTTTCTTGTTAATAATTGCGTCCGATACCGTACTAAAAATGAAACTGAGTACGAACAGAGCGAGGTACGGCAGTGACGATATCAAACTGTTCTGAAACGCACCGAAAACGATAAACAACAAACAACAATACAAAATTAGCACTTACGTTTTTTATGTCGAACTTCATGACGTGGTTTAAATAACTTGGTATTTGCGTCAGCAGAACATAAAACACGAAACTGAAGCCGCTCTGCGCGATCAGAAGCGCCCAGATGGGTGGCGACGTAATGATTTCTTTCCACGGTGTAGGATGCTTCTGAGAATTACAAATAGTGCAATCGATATTGCTTGGAAAATAACATTGAACTCACTTTCTTATGTTCGGCGTGTCCTAAGCTATTTTCGATGAAAAACTTCTCCGCTACGCTGATACTAGGATGTTCTGCTGGACTATTGTGTCCAAATATGGCCATTATCACGCACCACACAAAGCCAAGAGCGCTGTAGAAATAGAATACCATTGGCCAGCCATAAGGACTTGCAGCCAGGAATCCGGTGACCGATAAGGCGATTACTGTTCCGAGAGGGGCACCTGAGATGATCACGTTGTTTTCCAGCAGTTTTTATTGATTGCATGTACTGTTACCTGCCATAATAAAAGCTCCCATTCGGGACCTTTCGGATAGAGGTGCCCACTGACTCAAAAGATAGTGTATGGATGGAAACACAAATCCTTGAGACAAGCCTTGGAGTGCCCTAATAGCCATGACCCCTTTCGATCCAAAATTGGCTGCAACTGTAGGAACCAAAAACCCCAGAATTGAACCAATTCCCATGGAAACGACAAGAAACCACTTCGGACCGTACTGGTTTGCCGCCCATCCTCCAAAAGCCTGTGACAAAATGTAACCCCAAAAGAAAGCCGATAATATGACACTTTTATCGGTCCATTCGGGGTACGTCTACAAACATTTATAATTTCAATTCCATCAGCACCATATAGGATATTGCACCTACCGGAATGTCTGGATTCGGATTCGCTTTCGCATCGGTCATAGCTACAATGGCTACCGAAAGAAACGCCCTCGCGCCGAAAGCAATTACACCAAGAGCTAGCAAAATCAAAGCCTGAATATGGCGTGCGCCAATTATTGGAACTGAAAACAATAGAGGAAAAGGAAAATACACTTTTCACAGTCGAGGTTTTGTAGTACACTTACGCGGCCGTGTCAGTTCCTCCCCTAGCTTTTTTAGTTGCTCCTCTTGCTGGGTTTGTTGCACCGCGGTGTAAAGTATGTCCTTTCGGCCATCCTCTAAAGTTTTAGTCATCTTACTTAAAATTTGAAATTCAAGGGACTGACTAAAATACGTTCGCCACCACACCGCGTAATAAAACTAAATCGTTCGTTTCATTAAAATTTTATTTTTATCTTTTATTTGTCAAATTTAAACAATTGGATGATATTGTTGTACATATTTTTGTGCGCAAAACCAAAAAAGCAGTTACGTTTGAACAAAGATATTTTAAAATTCAGAAAATACCGGGTGATTGTTCTAATGGCCATTAGTACAGGGTTCCCGAAACGGACGTTATTGCTAGTAACAACAATTTTCATATACATTCATATCCACAGATTTAAATTAAATTAATGAAAAGCTAAATATTAGTAAATAAATAAAAATTATTAAAACTTTCTTAATAATATAGCAATTAGCAAAAAGTGTAGATTTCTTTAACAATAATTTTTATGAAAATGTCAATTTAACAAGTATGGACACTTCTAACGTCGATATCAAGTTGCTGGTTCCTCTAATACCGTATAAGTTGCTCTTGGCTACTTTTGATATTATCCCATCACTGCTCTATATTATGATCACAGAGGCAGAGGCTTTAAACTAAAGTCTCACTGTTTGTGCTATTTTCGAAGATATTTCCCACGCTTTAAATTTTGACGTTTGTCAATTGTGACGGTCATGTCGTTGAATGTATTTGTGTTGTTTTGCCAAAAAGTACCCAAAAACTAAAGGTCGTAGAAAAAGTATAAAAAAAATATGATGCAACACGATCGATAAACTTTTTAACTCACTCGTTTATTTAAAACTCGCTCCGCTCGTGTCAAATAAACTCGTGAGTCTATTGCCGTTTACCGCACTTGTTGCATAATATACTATTTTCTACTCCCTTCTGTAGAATACCTAATAATATGCCGAGCTAGCCTGCCGAAAGTGTCAATCGGATGTTTTCGGAGCTTTTACCACACGGCTTGTTAATTTCTGAAGGTCATGTGTTTATTTAAACACACGCACTTGTTGCATAATATACCATTGTAATATAAGTTACAAATGTTTACATGCTTAAAATGTAAAATCTTTTGATTATGATATTATTAATAGATGATATAAGGCATTGTTTCCAAGTATATAAAACTATCTTGCTTGCTGAATAATACCAATAAGTTTTTTGAAATAACTTTCTCTAGATTCAGAATTTCATTGTAGTTAGCGCTTAACTTATGTATTGATATGTATTTTAATTATTTTAGATACGTATTGAAACAATGGTTAATAAATCGTACCGAAGCTAATGTATTTTAAATAAAGAAACATATTACAACGATTTAGGTGCCTTCAATTAATAACACTGACCTCCCGAAAGGCTGGATTTCTATTTATACACAAACCATTCTCCTATAAAATAGGGTGTCCTCAAACATTATGCGGTAATAATATGTTGGAAAATCGAAGATTTTTAAGTAATTCAAAATAATTTAATTGCTACTTTTTTAATACCGATTGCGCAATAAACTCTCCAATCACTCAAATGCAAAAGAACTACAATCACTATTTTAGTCACAGACATATTTCGATGATTTCATATTGTTTTGATATGATACTTTGATAATCTGTTCTTTTTCTTTCCTTATTTGGGTAATTAGTTTATTAAATTTTTATGTAAACCTTTTTCTAATTATTATGTAGGATACTTACGCGTACTTTGTAAATTGTAGTGTTAGTCCATTATTTTGAGGACCTAAATATGTTAATCTCGATGACGTCACTAAAAGTTCATTTGGTATAAGAGGTACTACAACTATATCTTAACGCCAAATTTTAGATCTCAGAACCAGCCTAGCGCTCTTCCGATGAAAGTAATTATTAAAGTATAATTACATAATAACTCTAATTAGTCGGGAGTATAAGTCAAAAATCACTACATATAATAAACGTATTTGTTCACTACCCCTTGTCGGTCGATCTATTCTAAATTAATCTAATAAAAGCACACCTTGGCGCATTGACCGTCCCAAAGTAAACGTTAAACGTATATTTTCTATTGCCTATCTAACAATAGCATATTTACAAAAATTAGCTAGTAATCTACACCATTGTACCGAGGTTATCGTAATTTACATACAGTCTCAATGTTCACCGTTGCGATTCCCAGGCCGATCTGACTAAGCAGTTTGAAAAGCCATTCTCATTTATTAGCAACCGCCGAATTCATTAGACACTATTTACGTGCCCTTTTTGGGGGTTTAGATTTATCTATTCGCCGAACTGGCGTGCAAAAATTTTGCCTCAGTCATCTATCAATTAAAATAATGTATTTAATCACAACGAGATATTTTGAATAATAACGAGGCCAAGTGAACACCATCTCGGTTTTATGACTTCGGATATGTGTGTTTGTCGTGCACTATAATTTGTTAAGAAAATTGTTCCACTGCTACCACAGATCATTTAATCACATCACATTATTAGGAAATAATAGATGAATAGACGAATTCATGTTTTTGGAAAATTCCTTTATTTTTTGGACAAAATAATGCTTCCATGTATTTTTTGAAAGTTGGTTTTTATTTTTGGGCAATTGTACAGTAAATTATGAACATAATTAATAATAATAAAAATCTGAGAGATAGAATAGCCATGATGATTTCCGACCTATGATAGGAGTAGTAACCGTAAGTGGAAGAAGAAAATGTTTGACAATGATAAATCATGAAAACCTCAATACATATTAGTTTATCTTTATGCCGATCTAGTTTTCTTTTTCTGAAAAATTTACATAGATTTTATGATTCTGTCAGTGAACTGTATGCTCGTACGAAATCCTGATAAATATGATGACAGTGATGGTTTTCGGAATTGCCAAACAAGTGGATAATATTAAAGGCAAAGTAAAGTTCTCTGTAAATAAGTCTGTTTTGCCTTTTTGTAGCATTTCCAAAAGTGTAGGACTTACTCCAGATTTTCGGCTAAAATTTAGAGAGCACATTACAACCAAAAATTTATTGTGCCACAGCCTCGAAAAAAGCATTTTAAAAAGTCATTCTCATATCATTGAAAATATATCTCCTTAACAGGCATTTCTCGTATGTCACTTTCGTACTTTCGTATCCCTTTGTCACTAAATTAATTTCGGAATATAACATCGCCAATGTTATTGTTATTGATGGTTAATACCTATTCATTCTATTTCTCATTTTTACATTTTGGGTACTGAAAAATAGCTTCATATTTTTAACTACATTTGTATCATTTTTATTAATTTATAGTATAGTATAGTATAGATGCTGCCTTACATGCCATGCATGTTTACATAAATTTTTGAGTTGAAAATGTTATATTTTCTTTTTATTTACAAGAACCAATGGTCCTAGATAATCAAAGCGAAGAAATAAATATTTTTTATCGACGTTTTCGCTGATCTATTAGTTCAAACCCTGATTTATAACAAGACGAAAAAAACGCTGAAACCTGAGCCCGTATCCTTTCAAATATTTTCTTCAAAGGAAAACAATGCCGCACGCGTCATGCCAAAAGTTCCCGCACTTTTGTAATGGAAGTGCGCCCGGTTGCGACAGGTGATGCAAGAAAATGTAATACTTTAATGACACGGGTTAAAGTGGGACGCAGATGTTTTTTTTGCGAAATAGGTCATAGATGAATCGAACCACTACGGAGGCACACTTATGCGAGTGTCGGCACGAGCTGCAAAGGTGCATCAAAAAGGCGCGTTTATTTGATTGTTTATTTCTTGAATTTTTTTATTTGCCTTAGCGACTTGGTTTTGCATACATGAAGTTGGACAAAATTTTGGTTTTTTTCTGTTTTTCATATTAGGCATATGGAAACCAGAAATGCCTAAACCTGTAAGGATCATCAAAAATAAAACCACGTAATGAAGCAGAATCGAGTTTAATCCTCTCCGTTCGACAACTACGTCTTCACTAACTCATCGTAAACCCCCAAAAACATCGCATAATAATACCCTAATTATCTCCTCACCGCAGCTTGCCCACCCTGTCCTTTTTGCCTGAGACGCCGATACATTTTACGATCGGCAAAAAAAACAAGGCGGCGCCTCTTTGTTACGGGGTCTTGTCGGATATGACGTAATAATATAAATATTCCAACACTCGGCCATCCTGACTATTGGTCTGTCCTCAGACCTAATGGTGAAATTTAAACGTAACTTAAATCTTTCAAAACTACAATAATTTGACTATTCTAGCTTGGTTCCTAGTCTTACGTAATAAAAAAAACATAATCAATTAGTAGGGTATCTTAAACATAAGCGATATTCCTTTATAAACAATAAAATAAGCAACATTTGCTTATAGGCAACGTTTGCCAAACTACAAAACACGAGCGACGTTCGCTCATAGGCACGTTTGCCAAAATACAAAACACGAGCGACGTTCGCTCATAGGCACGTTTGCCAAAATACAAAGCACGAGCGACGTTCGCTCATAGGCACGTTTGCCAAAATACAAAACACGAGCGACGTTCGCTCATAGGCACGTTTGCCAAAATACAAAACACGAGCGACGTTCGCTCATAGGCACGTTTGCCAAAATACAAAACACGAGCGACGTTCGCTCATAGGCACGTTTGCCAAAATACAAAACACGAGCGACGTTCGCTCATAGGCACGTTTGCCAAAATACAAAACACGAGCGACGTTCGCTCATAGGCACGTTTGCCAAAATACAAAACACGAGCGACGTTCGCTCATAGGCACGTTTGCCAAAATACAAAACACGAGCGACGTTCGCTCATAGGCACGTTTGCCAAAATACAAAACACGAGCGACGTTCGCTCATAGGCACGTTTGCCAAAATACAAAACACGAGCGACGTTCGCTCATAGGCACGTTTGCCAAAATACAAAACACGAGCGACGTTCGCTCATAGGCACGTTTGCCAAAATACAAAACACGAGCGACGTTCGCTCATAGGCACGTTTGCCAAAATACAAAACACGAGCGACGTTCGCTCATAGGCACGTTTGCCAAAATACAAAACACGAGCGACGTTCGCTCATAGGCACGTTTGCCAAAATACAAAACACGAGCGACGTTCGCTC